TAGTATTTTGCCGCCCCCTTCTCATTCGTTTTGAAACATCAATGAAAACCATCAAATGAACGTGCAACCGGGGGAGGCGTGCATAAGACGCGTTTACTCGTGTTGAACACATTTTTTGGGAAAGTCCTGTCAACACTACTAGCAAAAGTTCACGGAACTTTGCGCGAAAGTTAAGTTTCGTAAACCTATCTCTGTATGGACAAGGCCCTCCATTCATAAGAAATGAACGAAAAATTATGAAAGAACAAACATAAATGTGGATTAATGATTTTAACTCCGCCACCGCGCCTCGCAGACCGCACTGTGTTTGCCGCAATGCGTGAGGTATTCGTGCAGTCTTGTAGGCGCTAATATGTGTTACATGCTGATCGCCGCGAGTCCTCGTCATCATTTCTCTCTAGGTAAGTCGCGCCGTTCCAGGCCAAATTGCGTGTTTGGTTTCTCTCTTAAATCGACTAATTGAAGGTGCTGTCTCTTGTATCACTGAAAGACGACAAATGTAGAAATTACTATACTCTCAGAAAATTAGAGATTTTGTCGCCCTTTCTCGTTTGTAATTTTTTTTCTAAATCCGAATTTTTTTGTACCTACATTTAAAAAAATTGCAAAATTTGCCGCCCCCTATAGATTTGCCGCCATGGGCCATGCACGGCTCATGTGGCCACCCCCTTAATCCGGCCCTGGAAAAGTATTCCTTTCGGAGGAAAGTTTGGAAGTCAAGGGGTCCAGACCCCTCATAATCTCTGAAATGGGAGGAAAATGAGAAGGAGGAAGAGTAAAAGAGAGAATGGCATTTAACTACGCGTTTCGCAGAAATGTATTCATACAACTTTGCATTTCGTGTTTGACAGCCCTGGCTCTGTCCCATGTCATAAAGACAGAATTTGAAAAGAGGAAGAATGAAAAAATTCAATGCGATCCACTTCATAATCGAGGAACATTGAGACATCTCACGCCAGCACGGAAGAGGACCCGGGAACTGCATTTCGTCGTTTACCAGAAGAAAGATCGTAACACCATCCCAAGGTTGCAATGTTGACACACTCGATTCAATATTTTACGAGAAATTTACCGTGACATTTTCGTTCAAAATCTGATAGTATCTTCAAGAAACCAGAACAGTGAAATTTTCAATCAGAATCAACCCAACATTTCCCCGGTAAAAATACAATTGCAATTAAGGGTATATTCAGCAACGTTACAGTGCAGTTACGTCCTTTCGTCTGGAATCCTGGGAAACGACCGCATGGAGCCCTGTCATGCAGAGGACCAGAAGTGAAGCGACCGAAAAAACCGCCCCTCGCTCCGGACTGACATAATGATAAGCGAAACAGGATGTAATGAGCGTAGCACGCTGACAGCTGCCGCGCCATTTTTGTTTTCATAAAAATGAGAAGCCCTCCAGCAGGTGACATTACGCACCTCGCTCTGTCGCGTCAACATCGCCGCCGCCGACCAGACCTGAAAATAAGTTCCAGATTTTCAGTCCCAGAGACGACTCAGCGGGGGGGGGGGGGGGGGGGAGGGGGAGGCGAGAAGGGTATTTTGATGAACTTGAGACATGTGTTATTTGTTAATACGAAAACTGGAGAGGGAGGAAACCATTAAGTCTCTTGACTGTCGGGGCTTGGGGCAGGTCAGAAAATCCTCGGGCGCCCACGCCCGGCGCATCTGCAGGGATTTCTGCTTATCTGGGCCAGGGTGCTTCCGGCTTGCCGCTGCCCATCCCTCCTGTGCACACTTGCGCAGGGTTGTAAAATTTAGCCATGATCGGCGTAAACAGTTTTGCATAGCGTTTTTTTTTTTTTTTTTTACTCTGATAAAAGTAATGCTACTTTTTCCCATATAAGATAAGCCGATTCAATCGATTTGTAGATAGAGTCGTAAATCCTATATAAATGCACTTGAAAGTACTAATTAAAGTAAGCTACAATCAACTGGGGTCATTTCAGAATTAAATTTGACTCCAAGGAAGAGTCAAAGTTGATTCAATGTTGCATTCAACATGAAGCAGAAAATTATTATTTTTGACAATGTACGCGACTCAGAACCAATGTGAATGAACTCAGAAAGAGTCACGGAGTGTACGAAATGAAGTCAGTGCATTTGGTGACTCTTTCACTCCACAATGAATCAGTGCTTCCACCCTATCGGTAGGAAGTTTTCCGACTAGGGGTAAAAAAAAAGGAAGCCATTAAAGTCACCTTACCGGTAGATAGTTTTCCGATTAGCGAGGAAAAAAACAATACCCGGTAATTTCATCTTTGCGATGCTATAACAATTTTTGAATGGGAGTGTGGAGAAACGGCACTCACAGATACAGTTTTGTTTGACGCCACGGCACCAGCAAATAACGCCATCCTTACTTTAACAACATGTTTCTAACCATTTTTCAGTACTTTTTGGCAATCGAGATCCTTCATAACGTAAGTTTAACGCATCTGCAGGGTTCTTTTGTATGTGATGACGTCGATTTGTAGTCGCGGCCAATAACTCACATACACATGTAAACAGTGTTGATAATTTTAGGAACAAAATCGACTGTACCGCTCGCCTACGTGGGGTAAAGTTTTAAAAATAAAAATAAAAGAAAAAGAAACCTTTTCAAACAGGCAACTCAGGAGGAGAGGCGATTGGGGTTGTAGGTTTAAAAATGAGGTTTCTCTTAAAAAATCCCCTGCGTGCATCCTTTGAGAAGCAACAGCGGGCGTCTTTCAGCTCTTAGCAGGACGAGAGGGCGCATAAATCAACGAAGGGCAGAATATTGCAGCGTCTCCCTTAATGGAAATGTGTTTAATGATATTTACGTTTTTCTTAGGGATTGACGTGATTTTTTTTGCTAAGATCCGCTAAGAGGGTTATTTAAATGGGGAACCGCATGCAGCACCTTCTTCCTTAGAGTTCCACGTTCGTGCTGCGACAGGAAATATACACAGTTGGAAATTGCCTTGAGTTTGTTCATTTTGGCTTGGTTTTATTTCGATTAGATTAACCACAATAATTTGGTTGATCGAGAAATGTTTCGGTCATTTTTTTCAGATCTCAGGTTATTCCGAGACATCTCATAAGAAAGGCTACTACTGACCTAGTTCCCCATTTCCGTTCAACGGTTGCCACTTGCGCGTGGCTAGCAGCGCATCGAATTGTCTACTGCAAGATTTGGATTGAATTCTAGCCGTATGTCGACTTTTCACGGTTTTGGATTTTTCAACAAAAATATTTGGTCTGTTTAACCGCAAAAAAAAAACGAATCAAAGGGTATCAATAGAATGTTTAGTTTACATTGTAATTTCTTCCCTCATTAACACAAGGTATCAGATACTTTTCATAACTGCGTAGTCAGAAAGACGCATTTTTTCCCTGGAACTGCATTTTGTGGGATAGAGCTTTTGCCATCTAAATGCAATAGATGAGACCGTGTTCGTTTAAAGTAAATTAACTGCAAGTTGATAAATGAATTAAATACCCGAATAAAATTCATAATTTATTTAAAATTTTTTCGGTGCCAAAACATGTGGACAGTTTCTAAATTTTCGAGATTTAAAGATTTTGCATGTAAGGTAAGAGAAGATTCGTAAAATTAGCAGCATTGCTATGATAGTAGTTCAATTTCACCAAATGGAGTCCAGGATCATCCATTTCAATCATTTAATAATCGACGACTTTTGGCAGGTATTGGTATTCGGTCTGATTTTACTTTATCTGTTGAAAAAACAAAGAATATTGGGGATTATCACTATACTGTTACAGGTCATTTGAACATAAATTCTGTGAAAAATTAAAGTGACGTGTAGTAACTCACGGGTTAAGTTCATTTTAGACCCCTAAAGTTGATGTCAAAAACTGAAGCTTATGCTACATGCCCTGCGGGGCCCTTATGCAAACGATTTGAATCTTTCATAACGCACAAATCTCATGCGGCGTTTCCGATTGAAAGTCAGGTACAGGGTACGGAGCGGGGTGTCATTCAAATCGACATCTGCAACTGACAAGTGATAGTTTCGTCAAATTAGCACTGTTGATGAAATATTCACGACTTTCAAGGCCCCCTCGCATTTTACACAGGCGGGCGCGGGTGCATCCTTGTGCATCAACTGAAAACTCGATGTCAGATTTACAGCAAGTTGACAAAATCGCCCAATTGCAGCTTCCGCCCCTTTAGCCGTTTCTCACGCGCACGCATCCCCCTTCTGGTATCCACCCTCTCAGTCTTCCACCCTCCCTCCCCCTGCCCGATGTAACCACTTTTAGTGGAGATTCACCCCACCAGCTCCGTAACTGTGCTATCGTATAGTCACTTTTTCATTGTCAATGATAAACATCTCTTCCTCCGCCTGTGACTTACGAAACTAACTACCCAACACCTTTGCTTGATAATTTGGCCTTCGTTATCACTTATCAATACATATCAATTCATAACTGCTGATATAAATATTTGGCAGTTTTGTCATTTTTGCCGCGGTGGATGACGTTATACGGCACTGCGCGATACCCATGAAGAAAATCCATGCGAAATTTGAGTGTATTGATGCCTTAATTTTTCATTCAGAGGAGGGCGGGGACAAAAAAGTTTTATACATTCCTAAAAATCAAGAAGCTTCCAGTAGGTTGGGGTTTAAAGGGAAGCAAACAATTATGAAATGATCTTTATTCGATCCGGATTCAAATTAGCTTTATCATCACTCATTGTTTACTGCTGTTCGGTGGATTGAACCGTTAAATTCATACTTAACTACAGCATTGATATGTAAGTGGCTTCCCGATTAAACTGCATATTGAGGTATCAGCAAAGATAAGGCCTTATGTCAATTTTCCTCAGATGCATCTCTCACAATGCACTACGTCGGATAGTTATTATCAAACGTCTCCCGTGAAAGTGTCCGTTTTATTAATTGCATGTGTCAAATTACTTATCCCTTCTTGCTCTAAAAGTACGACCAAATAATCTTTTTTTTTTTTTTTTTTTTTTTTTTTTTTTTTTTTTTTTTTTAAACCTGTTCACAAGTAATCTTGTACATTTTGGCCGATCCGGATCTCTTTCGCGTTCGTTTATATCCTTTTGGCGGTTGTGGTTTCAAAGTTTGTCATTGAGCGATGGGAATACAATCCCGAATTTAATTCGCTAAAAAGTCTCCTCCTGAATCTAAAATGATACAGCGGCTCATTTTTTTCATGGTGGCTTTTGGCTCTGGCGCCGGAGCCTTTAAAATTTTGGTTTTATACCCAACACCTAGTTTTAGTCATCAGCGACCGATAATGGCTCTAACAGAAAAGTTGGTTCAGTTGGGTCATCAAGTGTTTGCAGTCAGCCCCAATATCGTTTTGGTAAGTCAATACATTGAAAGATACATTAAGGACACAAGCAACGTAAACAAGCAACAAAAAATGTTGGATAAAAAATGAAAGGAAAAGCCCACGTTTTAATAAAATTAGATTCATTGCATGAAACTAACCGACTAACGTGAACTTTTTTCTTGTATTGACAAGAATCATAAAATCAAATTTTTACCTGTCCCCTACATTTAGCTCAGCCCTATTTATCGCTTGGTAATATCAAGGCTTAGTGACATATCATTGACTGAATTTGTATTCTCATGCGCAGGGCTTGGAGGGCAATGAAAATTATACCTACGTGGATGTCTCATTCTCATACGAATATTTCTCAGATGTAAAGACGGATGACGTCGTGAACTTTCAACGTGAGATTCCAAAGTGGGGAATAAAAGACTTTATGGTCCCCATGGCAGAAATCCCTGGAAAACAATTCTTAAGCGAGCCGTTTAAAAAGTTCAAAAAGTAAGTATGGTCTAAAATACTCTCATTCTCATACTTGTATTTCTTAAAACCAGACAGATATTTACATGCTGTGTGATATCATTCATCATAAAATGATCAAACTTTTAGAGGAAGGGAAAATACTATTCAAATTTGAAGAATACCATTAAATGTAATGGAAACGTTTTCAACAGTCATACTTCGTAATAGGATGAGTGTTGATTTCTGTCTTTTCGTATAGTAAATTTGATATCTTCCACAGATCAGTGTCAAAAATTTCAAAAGTCTTTATTAATTTCACTAAAAATAGCTATATCACGAGGAAGCTAGGTGATAGTGGCAAAAAAAAAAAACGGTACCAGAACTCAAAGAAAAATAAAGTTTTTGAGTCGGGCTCCGATGCTATTTTGTGGTGCTGCAATATTTCGTAATATCTCGGAAACTTCTTATGGCAGTATGGTTATTTTGATGATTTCACATCACCCGTGAATAACAAAAATACTCAGAACCTTTTTACGAATATCAAAAGAGTGTGCATATTTTTTCTTCCATCCATAATTCCACAACCAACTGCACTACTGCAATTATCGGTATTTTTTTCTTAAACCATTGAAGAGATAGATGTATTTCCGTGCTCGCGGATTTTCAGGGATACAGGTTAGTGAAATCTGCCTCAGCAAACCGCACACTCCAATTCTGTGGAATGTATCAGCACAACCGGGATCTATCGACGCAGTTATTTCATTTTTAATCATGTTTTGTTGTTCCAGGCGTGTCGAATCAGAAAAATTAAAATTTGATGTGGTCATCGTTGAATCCCTTTGCATCCCTTGGGGGTGCGGGATGCTGAGACTTTTAAGCGAAGCCGCTCCGATTATATCAATGACGACAGTAGCCGTCGATCACAACGAGAACCATATCGGAAGCAGGATGCATCTCTCTTTCGTGCCGACCATTCTCAGCCCCTACACCGACAGAATGAGCTTTTGGGAAAAGCTCGAAAACTGGATTTTCTACTCTTACTTTCTATCCATGAGTTCAGGGGTGTTCGAAAGTGCCGCTCGGCGCTTTTTCAAAGATAACTACGGTGCGGAAGCTGAAAACCTAGTCGAAGGTTGCTGGAGTAATGTTAGCTTGGTTCTGGTGACCTCCAACCCGTTGTATTTCTATCCAAGACTTTTAGCATCGAACGTCATCGAAGTCGGACCGTTGCACCTTAAGTCACCCCCAGCATTACCAAAAGTAAGTGTTGCCCCCTCCCCCTTCCCACATTTAGATATAAAGTACCCAATCAAACTGTATAGACAAACAAAGGGGGAAAACGGAAAACAAGGCAAAAATACACAATTAAAAAACCGAGACGTTTCTGTCTACTGTTTGCTGTCTTGTTAGCCTACTGTTACCATTGTCTCGGGCTGCTGTACAAAACTTTGTATCTCTGTAACCAATGAATATTCCTGATAGTGACAGTAAGAAGAGTCCAGAACAAAGGAGGTTGATAATACTTGATAATAATTATACAACTAATCAAATTTCATATAAAGTTAATCAGAGTCCTGATGATATTTATACTAAACTGTCAGAGGCACGTAACAAGACTACGATTTGAATACATTTTCCCACATTAAGTTGTTCTACCCACACATTTTGGCAGACTTATGGTGTCTAACTGACCATACTTTATACCCCATACGCGAGCAGGCAGGAATCATCACTTTTCCAATGAGGAAATAATTGAAGAGGGTGTCAAGTTTGATGCTCCTAAAATATCACTCATAATTCATTGATTCGTCTTTCTGTCTTGAAAGTTTAATTTTAGCATGCAAGATGTAATTGTGAACTTTCATGTTCCAGAACCTACAGGAATGGCTCGATGGCGCAGAGAAGGGTGTAATTTATTTTTGTCTCGGGGGCAACGTAAAAAGCAAATCACTACCCGAGAGTGCAAGAGACAATTTTGTGAAATTTTTCCAAGAGTTGTCTCCCGGATACAGAGTTCTTTGGAAATGGGAAGCGGATGGCAAAATCCCAGGACAATCTCCGAATATTTTAACTCAGAAATGGATGCCTCAAGAAAGCGTTCTAGGTCCTTAATGCCATTCATTATATAGTTTAAGATAAGATTGATAAATTTCAATTTCAATAATTTAAATCCATTAACCCAAGTGTCATTGATTTCAATCCATAATTTTGATTTGCATTAATTTATTCAATCAAGACGCTTGTGCAGAGCATATTGTTTTGAAACTTATGAAAATGTGCTGCAATCTTTTGAGCGTTTCACATGCAAGTATTTTAAATGCACGCAAGAGTTTACTGGTTCAAATACTTACGTCTCATTTCAAGACCAAGGCGTTAACGCTTTGGTTCTTGAAATAACTCACATTGCCATTTTACTTTGAAGCTTCGGGAGAAAAAGTTTGGTACTTTTTATCCAGTAATAATAATGAAGGCCGATAATTATTAAAACGGTCGCCACATGCACGACTCGATGCATATTTTCAAACCTTTTGACGCGCATGATAAAATCAGCACTAAACACAGCATGAGTTCGTTTTCTCTGTAGCAGTGCAAATCCATTTATACTTTGTATCCACCCTCACTGATATTATTTCATTTAGTTGATTATAATCCAACGATTATTTTTGCAGCGCATCCAAAAGTAAAGATTTTCATAATGCAAGGAGGTCTTCAAAGTTTTCAAGAAGCAGTTCACTATGGTGTCCCGACAGTAGGAATACCATGGTACGGAGACCAAAGAGGGGTAGTCGCTAAAATGGTTGATGCAAAGATCGGTTTACGCTTGCTGCCAGAGGAGCTTTCAAAGTTCGAAAAAGTCAAGTCTACCTTAGAGGCCGTAATGTTTGATGAAAGGTAAGGAATGTATTAGCACATTTTAAGGTGGGGCTCATTTTTTGGGTGGGTTTTAAGACGTCCCAGGGTAAAACTTCTCATGGTTGTGGATATAAAGCATGGATATAAACTGAGAAGGAAACTAAACATTGATCTAATGAGAATTAAATGGTTGGATGATTGCAATCGAAATATCGATCCAAATCGATTGAAATATTACATTAGGGGTTTCCTCATTGCCGCCCTACAGAATGCGGCCCAACTTTCAGAGAACATCGGAGGGTCACGCCTAGGATCATATTACAAATATTTATTATATGCGCTGTTCGTTCATCTTTCGATTCTGAAAATCAAGATTTAAGCTTAATTTTTGTATTGTTTCATACTACGTATCTTGGTTTCAGCAGAATGCCATTCCAGCCGTTTATTTTAAGAATGTGTCAACTTGCATAAAGATGAAAAAAACTACTTATTTGACTAGAAACCTCAAATTAAAAAAAAAAAAAAAAAAAATCGAGTTGGAACCTGCTAGGGACGAATTCAGTTTCTATTCCTGTAACTGTACATAACGCACACCCCGATACCAACTTTGCGTCATTTTTGGTGACTATATCCCTTGAAAAATATAAAATAGCGAACAGACAAACAGGAATAAATTTAGGCCAATTTTGAAAAGGAAAAGAAAAACAGCTCTTTGAAATTTTTTCAGTTATGCTATAAACATGAAGAGACATTCGGCCATTTCTCACGACTTCACCTCTCAATCCTTGGACAGAGCAGTGTTTTGGGTCGAACATTTAGCCCGGCATGGCGGGGCATCGCATCTGAGACCAGCAACCGCTGAAGCAAATCTTTTTCAACTCCTTTGCTTCGACATCGTATCTGTGATCATATGCTTCAGCTTTTTTATTATATTCGTTATTTACTTTATTCTTAAGTCCTTTAAATCCACCATATTCGGGAATGAACTCTTGAAAAAGAAACAGCACTGAGAACCGAACATTGCCACTAAAACGGTAAAAGACTTTTCCATCCTCAGATACCCGTCATTTATATAATCCACACTGGGAAAAAATATAGCTCACAGAGACCGGCCTTCGATTCATATTGACCACAAAAGTTTTTCAGTTTACGGAACCAAAGTTTTCGGTTATAAGGAGCGAATTTCGGTTAGCTGAACCGAAAAACTTTGGTGCTCAATATGAACCTAACTTTCTTCCTGCCCGTACTTCAATTATACGTATTTTTTACTTCCAAATATAGCCTGTGTCTTATCCATAACGCTTCCTGAAATTTTTGCGTTTCACATTTCCCCTTTCTCTGACCATTCCATATAGATACGTTAGCTAGATCTGATTCGCGCATGTCGGTTCGATCCGCGACCCAGTTCGTTCGACTTGGTCCCGGGAAAATCGCGCTAGATGGCCAACCAGCGTGGCGCACTGAACTTAACCGCCCCCCAGAGGCAAAACCGCGTATCGTGACCTGCAACCCCCGTGCAGATGCGCGGTTTTCCCAAAGCTGGCTCGCGAGTGCAGCCTCGCGCGACAGCCGCGTCCCGTGTACCGTTGACGGTTTACCGCGACTACGATACGATTGAATTAATTCCATAATTCAGGCAAATTACCCCCTCCTCCTCCCCACACCCGTCATCACGGGATTGAAATCGGGCGGGATAGGGAAGCGCGGAGAGGGGGGGGGGCATGTGTGGATAACTGTGCCTTTACCACGGCGCGCAGCCACGAAATCTGGAGCGTCCGTCCGTTGGTCGCGGATCTGGGAAGCGATCAGGGTAATCGATTTCAGAATATCGGATGGAACTGTCGTATTTCTGGTTGATTTCTAGTGACCTGGTTGCTGTGAAGACGGACTCTGCCGGAAAGTTCATCAAACTGCGGGTGTGTTCTTGCAGCGACGGGCAACACTGACTCAGACTCTGCGACAATATTTGGACCGCGTTTAGCGGAAAGGAACCAAGCCACATCAGCTATTGCCAAATTCAATTTTTTACAAGGGAACTTTTTTGCGGATTTTTGGAAATTTTAAGGAATTTGCCTCGCATTATGCACAAAATGCACTGAAATTTGCAAATTTATCCGCACAGCCGTTTTCATATAAAACATTTAATTGCCGAATTAAATGTGGCAGTATAGCTGATGTGGCTTGGTTCCTTTATGCATGGTGCGGTCAAAATCTCAATGGATGATGGTATGTTTCCACAATCATCAAGAGCTCCTCAAAGTTCAGAATGATGACAAAAGAATAACAATGTCACTAGTCTTCAGGGCAGCCTTTAAGGGCGCCTTGCTGCCGTGCTAAGGAAAAACACCCTATAAACATTCGAGAGTTGCCAGATTTCCTTCGATAAAGTGTTTATTTTTGAGGAAAGCTATGGATATTTTCCCTTTAAATTTTCAGGAACTTTAGGTGAAATTGCGAACAAATTATCTGAAAAAATTGGATGAAATTTTTTTTAAAATTTTCCCGAAAATTCGTGATTTACGAAAAGAAATTTGGCAGCACTTGGAGGCTCATACGGCGTTTTTCCTTAGCTCGGCAGATTGGGACACCCGTGTTATTGGGATACCCGTTGATGACGGGTTAGATATTGTTGATGACGTCGGGCGTGAGACCGACATCGTGGAATTGGACGTATTCCTACCAAACAGAACTACGTGCGGGTGGGAAATATGGGGTGTGCTCGTTAGTTCTCGGGCGTTAAGAATGAATGGGAACTACAAAGCGCCAGTGACATGAGCGCTAACGTCCGCGCTCCCCGCGAGCTTTAACTCATGAGCCATGTCCACAACGGTCTTTTGGCATGCCCACGGCTCATGAGTCCCGCATATACTTGGCACATAGTTTCGTTCAGTGAATTTAAAATCCCGCTTTTATATTTCACCGAAAGGAATCACGCACACTTTTACATTGTTTCTTATCCAGCTCACTACGAGCAAACCCCATCTTTACCACCCGCACATAGCTCTGTCTCGTAGAAATACGTGTACGTCTAAATGCCCGTCCTCTCTTCAAACTCTTTAAAATCCCTGAATTGCGTCAAATATATGGATGTATTGCACATATCAACGAGGAAACTACTATTTTCATTTGTGGCGTTGTATCTCCACTCAAGTTAAGTTTTTATAAAGAGATTATCAACCCTGAATTTCCTCCTGTTTTGTTTTTGTAGTTTCCTCTTAATTGTTTTTCACTCACTTACTACAATGTCTCGGATGGATTTCCTCTAAAAAGAAAAAATACAAACAAAGATATTAAAACGCTGCGAGGGAAATAAACATCTTTCGATTTTATCTTTTGATATTTAATGAACTAAAATGTTTCAGTTTCGTTTGTTTCATTTATATACAAACTTGCCCGCATTCTCAATACCTTAATGATCATATATTTTGTCACACGGGTGCAAATCGCAAATTTCATTCCTGTAAAGTGTTCAAGTTATCGATAGTTTATCCCTCAATGCAACTGAATATGACAATTCTCTTCTTCATTTCACTCCCGTAAGTCACTGAGCCTTCAAAATTTGCCATAAAGACCAAAAAGGGGGAGGGCGCAATACGTTGCACTGCCGTAAATTTTCCACATGTGAACGATTTTAATCGCTGAGCATGCATTTATAATAATCAGCAGCGTGCAAGTGGAATTCGAATTTAATCTCCCCTGCAAACAAACGCGACGACGCATTAAGGTGGTGTGAAATATACTATCAACGTTGCCACGCTGTGATGAAAATAATGATCTTATTGTAGAACTATGTTATTTAATCCTACACATACGTTTTTGTTAGCCTTTTAATATTTCTTGAGTCTTTGATGTTTAAATGTTCATATTTTATTTCTTCACCTCATTTCCCCCTCGATATTTTAAAAAACGAATATATACATCGAATTCACACAGTCTTAAACATTAGAGGTAAGGATACTTTTTTACCAATACATGAGAACGATTTTGTTAATCAATGTTGGAAATTATATAACGATTTGAACTTGGAAAATTTAAAAATTTATGTAGGTGCAGAAATTAAAGCATTCTCAAGATGATCTGTAGTAATATTATTTAATAATTATGATTATTTTATTGACAGATCAGTGTGTTTAGTCAGGGATCTGATGTGGAGAAGTTAATATATTTTCATTTCATTCAATGTTGATTTTTCATTTAGTTTTAGTTTCAGTTTCAGTGCAAGATTTCGTTCGTCTTCTTGTACAGTTTTGCAAACAGAAAAGTCTCTAAAGTTCTAAGTTACTCCTTAAGGTACTGAAAACAAATTATCAACTCTAAATTGACGACATTTGTCTAATTGTTTATGCAGGGATATAAATATTCATTCTTCGGAGGAAAAATTAAGATAAAAACCCAATTTTTTTCTACTCATCTTTCTGAAGCCAATGATTAATTCATGAAATAAAGAGTTAAAATAAATGGGGGTGTGGCAACACAGCACGCAACCCTCCCAACGACAATCGGGGGCGGCAATTGTTGAACTTGAGTTTTTTTATCACGGCCGCTCGCATAAATTCAAATATAAGGACCCCCTGTGCAGATATTCGCGCTTGGGCAAGCTCCACCCCTGCCAGATCTAACCTCAAAAGAAACCAAATCCCTCACCCCTCGACCAGGAAACGTCTCGCAGAACCGGACAATACGGCAACGTCAAACACGCAGCAGATTGAGATTGGAGCCGAGCTTAATTTAATTGATTCTGGTGCAGGCTGAAAAGGCTGAAACGACATACGCTCACCTCCGAATTTGATCCTTCCTGAATGGAGGCCCCTGTCCACGTCTCTCTGCCCCCACTTGCTTCGCGGAGGGATGCGCGAGGGGCGACCCCAATTAAACTCCTCCTTTTCGGGCCCCCTCCGGTTCAAAGTTCAGCCTATTTAATTGGATTATTAATATTTGATGGACCTTTTGAACGGTTCGCAGTCAATTATTTCGACTCGAGGCTCCGCGCGCACTTGTTTCTTTATTAACTCCTAGTTAGGCTCGAAGATTGCGAGCCGTGCTGCTGCCAAATTGCATTGATGGTGACACTCCTCCTCCATATGATAAAATATTTTTAGTTGTTTTTTGTGAAGAAACAGTAGAAAGCAGATAAACACATTTCACTGAGAAAGAAGTTCAGTCGTATGAAAAGTTCAGTCAAATTTTCTTATCGAGTAAATGTACAGACATAAGCGGAAGTGGGAACTTTTTGTGAGGAGCGTAGAAGGGCACTTCATCAAGAGAGGACTGGGGGGGAGGGCACTACATCCCACCAAGGAAGTTCTGTGGGTCCCACCCTGCTCCAAAACGGGGATCAAGAGATTTCTCCAGTTTCAAAGAAGATGGTCATGGGAAGCCTCTGTCGTGAAATATTGAAAAATTGAGTCATCTCAGGAGCAATTTCGAGCTGTTCTCACTAAAAAAATTGATCGAATTACAACAATTTTGTAGAGGTGCAGGATGTTTATCAAGCACCTATTTAGTGAAATTTCTCACATTTCTTGGGAGGGGCCGAGTAGATTTCCGCGGGTTTTTTCCGGCCGTTCATAGTCCCGCGCATACGTACAGAGTTCTCAACCCGAAAGCAGACCCGACGCACAGTGGATCGAGTCAACTAGAGAAGTTGGACATGAAATTTGTGACTAAAGCTGCAAAGAGTGACGTTTATTTCGTCAGATTAAAAATTTTAAAGTGTGCTGCTGGAAGCAAATTTCACGGGGAAACCAATGGAGCCAATGGGCCTGTTGCAAACTTTTGCTAGAGCAAAAATAAGAGTTGTTTCTTATAGATAATGCCTCAAAAATCACGATGAGCGCATCGGCAAAGTCTGAAATGCACTCATAACTTCACAATCTGCGTAAGAAATTTGCGTTTTTTTAAGCTTCCCGCTTCAAAAACGATACTACGGCACAAGTGAACATTTTGTTAGAGGAGTCGCTCCATCGTCGGCGATATTCATCATGGCCGACGCTTGCGCGCAGTTCCGCGCGTAATTCGAGGAGAGTTCAAGGTCAATCAATTCGGGCGTGGAAAACATGAACGTTAAAACACGCCGATTGTTATCTGGTCTAATCCAGTTCAGGTATTATCTCGTCCCATTGCCCATCACACGTGTTTTGGCGGATTGGCGTCGGCCATGATGAGTATTGCCGACGATGGAACGACTCCTTTTACAAAATGTTCACCTGTGCCGTAGTATCGCTTTTGAAGCGGGAAGCTCAAAAAACCGCAAATTTCTTACGCAAACTGTGAAGTTATGAGTGCATTTCAGACTTTGC